TATTGAATAATTGTACCAAATGTTTGATGATCTGTTAACAACAACAAAGGGAAACGTCCATTCAATAACAAGGGCATGATGATTTAGTATACAATACAACCACTGAACATTCTATTATTCTTTAATTTTGAATAGCATTTCTGTTTATTGCAAGGTATTATACCTGCTTTGAGAATCCAAAAAGTGATGTTATATAGGCTTTGATTTGACGTTAATGGCTCCCCTTGTTAACAACCACCGAGTCCCACGGACAAGTTCTTCCTTAACCATGAAAAGGACAGCAGCCGCGAGAACACTTTGTACAATCTTTGTCCCCATCCCCTTGTAAAAACCATAAAATCCTTCATGCCTTATCATCTTCAGTATAGCATCTAAGGTGCCTGCACAGCAAAAAAAGCAGCCTCACAATCTTTTCTTCATTCAGCGCACAAATGAAAATGCAGAATGAAGGTATCTCAGACTTGCCAATACAGAAACTAGCATGTAACTTCTTTATGCACACACACACACACACACACACACACACACACACATATATATATGTGTGTGTGTGTGTGTGTGTGTCAAAATAAAAATTAGTGAGTTTTTTAGACTGACGTAACCAAAGTAGGAAGTATAAATACAACCTTTGTACTGACGCCTTCTGTCTCCATCAGTAACCTGTTTTGCTTGAAGTCTCGACTGCGAAAGAAAAAAAGAAATTATTTTCAGGCGCAAAATTACAATAAGCACTTGGACCAGTGGTTTGATTGCCACCTCATTGAGAAAAACAGACATTAAAATCTCATGAATAGCTTTTTGTAGACATGATGCTAACTGAAAGTCATGGAGATTTTCATAGTGATAGGAAACAACAGAATAACACACCTAGACTCTTTCTGGGATTGAATATTTGTAATTTTTTAGGAGAAAGAGTGGTTGGGACCACGAAATGTGTGGATAAAATTAGTAGTTTTGAATATGTGATTGAAATTAAAGTTTTACTTCGACTGGTGAAAGAAGAAAAGTTTTAAGTTACAAATATTGTAAGCCGAACGCATGTTAACATTAGTACCTTAGTATTAACAGCTTCACCATGAGGAACTTTAGTTAGAGATAAATATATTAATAAGAACAGGAATGAATTTTACCTTCACCACAAGGAGAGGATATGTTACAACTGTAGCTCCCAGTTTTGCCAAAGCTCCAAGCAAAAATATCTGTTCGAAATTTTGTTACATTAGCACAAAAATAGTAGCAGATCAAAAATAAGAGTTCCATTAGTGGTCTCTTAATATAAGGTAAGTTGAGAAACTAGCAAGCGTTTACCTCCAAAGCAGTAACGTCGTTGTTAGCCTTTCCACTTGAAGCACGTTGTCTCTTCAGCTTCTTCAAGAGAGTCTCATACAACATAAATTGTATTGAAGGGTTGCTCACCTGTGGGCAACAGGGAGGAAAATCAGTGATTACCCAGCAGCAGTTACTAGAGTCACTTCTGACCTACCATGATCAATGTCGGGAAAACACCTTTCCAAAATCCCCAGACTCCAGCTTCACCGTAAATTTCATGAATCTGCATAGCAAAAAATTCTAGTTATGAAGTGGGGCAAAATTCTAAGTCATTTGTCTATATTCCTGTTAATTGAGACGACAAACAGTTTGTGCATAAAACCTCTGAAAAATTAGCAACTCATTCCCAACACTGGTGTCACTGATCTCTTACGACATTCAGCACATTCAAGATACACTACAATTACTGGAAGAAAACCTGAAAAAGAACTGGTATTGAATGCAATAACTAAAACATCTATTTGGAATCTGGCTAGAAAGTCCATGGCCTCGGTCAAAAGATAATTTAATTGAAAACCATGTAAATTTGGCTGTCTTCCTTTTTCCAGATTACCTTAATATAACTGATATAGATCTTCTAGCTGACGGTTTTTTATGCACTGTGATCCTTAAATGTGCTCCAATTGATTTCACCAATACGTTCCTCTGATTGTCCTACTCACATCTGCTCATTAACTAGGTTTGTCAAATCACTAAGAGCTATCATCTGAACTATTGAACATATCTCAACAACTGTTAATTGATAAAAACGTCTCTCATGTTCTTATCCATTCCTGATCATGTTGACCATAAACAAAGCCAATCTCAAATTCTCTAGATGCAATTTTCTTATTCCAAGAACACTGAGCATGTCAAAAATCGGTGCAGTGCACCAACCAGTGGGTAAAAAAGAAAGGGTTAATTTAGCCATTGTTTGATGGCCATTATTTAGCCAAAAAATAATGCTATTAGCAGTCGCTGACGTAGGGCAACCAATGTAATGAGCGACTGCAAATAACATTATTCTTAGCCAAAGCATTTTTTGAATAGTGATTTTTAGGAGAATGTGATTAAAAAGTAAGGAAAAGTTTTGGATTTTACATGAAAAATATTTTACCATGTGAATGTGTGATTGAAAATAAGTATGAAGAAAAAAGAATTTTCAAATAATGATTGTCACAGACCGACTTAGTTTCTGCAACTTTTTCTTTGCCACTTTCCATATCTGGAGCAATAGTGACATACTTTATCTGCTCCTTTTCAATAAATGATGCTTATGAGGTAAATAGTTGTACATAAAAAATCAAAACCAAAGCACAAAAACTACAAATTTTCTTGTTTCAATGTTTGAGGTGTCCAAAGCAAAGTTCTTTAGGCGATACATTCAACACATATTGAAATCTTCAAATGCTAGTTTCTAGAAATACAGAAATAGATTGCAAATCAATCTATGGAACCATATATTATACCTAAAAAAAAAAAAAAACACGTAGCATACCGCATGGCTAGTTCCATAAGGAGGAAGTTCCGCAGCAGCAAGAATTACTTCTTTGGAAGATAACGATTCAGTCTCCAAAGTTAATGATTCACCTCGATTCAGTAAACTCTTTTTTGTATGAGTCTATAAGACAGTTACCATGAATAACACAAATATTAGGTACATGCCATAAAATTAATATCAATAACTCATTCTAATAATTTCATCTTAAAACATAAACTAAACTCATATTACATTGAAGAAAGGTGATATTTTTTATTTATTTTTTTATTTTTTTACATGGGATTCCTTTCACCCTTTTCGGAGGGAAGGATGGAATGTATATACAAAACCCATGCAAGTCCTCTACGTCTAAACTCATACCCTAAATGATAATTATCTGATATGATTTAGTACTGCTACAGACTCAAAAATAAAACGATCCCAACAGTCACCTGATTGCTCAAAGACATAAAATAAAGACATTTTTATAAAAGCTGTTGCTCAAAGTATGGTATAAACTCGCAGTTGTAGCATAAATGAAGAAGATGACAAAATTTACATCTTTTGAAGGATAAATAAATTCTGGATCTGGGATAAGAAGAGTTCAGTAACAGATCAAAATTGCAAAAGAGGAAGGTAAAAAACCATTTAGACCATCACTTCAAACAATAATGCACCTAATTTTCAAGACGAACACAAAAAGGGGCAGAGTAAGTTACCTGCATGCGAGTCACAACTACCCAGATAGGATTAGTCAGCAGCACATTCACACACCTGTAGGAAGGAAAAGTTCAACCATTCACAGGTCTATGAACACATTACATGTTGTACATGTTGAGTGACATAACACGTGGGAAATTTGTGGTTGGAGGTTTATCCAACTGGTGTAACACAAGAAAAGAATATGCATGTGAACCATTAAACATGAAAAAATGAGCAGAGAATAAATTTCAGCCTCTAAAATAATTGTTAAAAAAGCAGCAAGCATCAAAATTCAAAGCTAGGTATACTCTGTAATTTTAGTGTTAAAGCACCAACATTCTGTAAATCACAAAAAATCAATAATAAATAAATAAGCAAAACATGATGCATTCTTTATTTAAATCTGTGACATTTCTGTTTTTGTCTCAACAGTTGCTTCTGTTAATATTGCCTCACGACTGATTTGTTCAAATATTGGTGGAATTAAATAATATCAGTCTAAATTTATTGAAAAGTTTCCGAAATATTGAGCTTTATGTTCTCCCAGTACCCAGAACATCTGGGGAGCTAGGAATGCTTTGCATTTTAGTAACTATGTTCTATGCTTGCCAATTGTTTCTACTGAAACTAACATTTCACATTAACCAATTTTACTAGTAGTCAATAAGACAATCTCCCAAGCGATGAGATCGTCATTTAAGCACTGCTTGCCCTGGTAGGTCATCTAAAAGAAGAGCTTTGAGTAAAAGCAAATTTGAGAATAATTCCAGTATGAAATCCAAAAACCACGAGTTGCATTTGAGCTTTAAGAACCTGAACTAGTCCATGAAAATTTAAACTTCAATGGTATAGTAATACGATATACATAATTTTTTTTTTTTTTTTTTTGAAAATAAGTAATTAAGTCCTAAAATCATATTCTATTGCCAAGATGCTTGTGAAATTCATTATTTAACAAGAAGCAATGATTAGTGCCTTACATGATAAATCTTATAAAAATTTTATGGCCATAGCTAATAAATAGAACGGATCTAAATTTTACCCACGATTACTTGTATAACTCAGTCGACTTAACTTATGCTCTCTGTTAAGTAGAAATTTGAAAATCGAACACACATAAATGATCCATTTCATAGTTCTTTAATAGCAAAAGAAACATAATTCTTTTTCTCTTTCTTCTTCTCTTCAAACATGAGACATAACATATGCTCGTCCAAGCTTTTGACAAACTTACATCGCAAATGTTAATTTGATGAATTAGATAGAAAACTTCACATTGAGCCTGTGAGTGTCAAGATTTCATTGCAAAGGCTTGAGCCTCCATGTCTGGCTCTTAGAGCCCAATTGACAGGCTTATAAAGCACTTGAATCTTGAAGATATCTTCAGGAAGAACTAGTGAATATATAGATCACTCCATATGTAAATGGTTGTGAACAGTAATGGCAAGAGATTAAGTAAATACGGAGTATATAGGAACAGGACATTAACAAATTTCACAGGACAACTTGAACAACAGTAAATTGTAACTTGTAAGTAATCCAACAAGTATATTACCCAGATAGAGCAGCCACCACGAGTGATGAGAACATTCCAACTGATCCATCACCAAAGCCTTTCTTCTTACGTTCAAGGGCAGCAGCTTCGGCCTTGTTCCTGAATATTTGATAGAAATAATAGTAAACACCCTGTACCATGAAAGTTATAATTGCATAAGATATATAGATAGATAACTAATGGTCATATTTTAGCTATCAGGAAAACTTTGCTTCTGCAGGGAAAGGATATGAGGAAGAAAAACATGAAAAATAAAATAAAAAAATCAATCCCTGTATCATAGAAATTAAAATTGTACCAAGAAACCATATATGTGGATTATTCATGATAAATTTTAGCTATCAGGAAAATGTGGTCTTCTGGGAAGGGATATCAGGGAGAGAGATATGGGGCACAAAATCATTTATGTGTTCATCATTCATCTTGATTATTACAACAATGAAATTAACACTTGAATTACTAGTATTACAGTTCACAATATGTTCAGTAACTAGAATTTTACACAAAAGGCTGCCACATAACAGACGGACTACATATACTTTCTTCTAATAAGCACAACGTTCAGAATACTAAAAACAATATCAGGGTTTGACCAGGCATGATGTTTTAAGTGGGAACGGAAAAGTGTGCTATTAAAGCAAAGTAGGTCACAAACTAGGTCGCATGTAACTCATTTTTCTTTCTTTATTTCTTTTTTCTTTTGGTTTTTTGAGGCATTAGATTTAGGAAGATGAACATCAATCAGCTATAGCCTAAAACATAAAAGGAGAATTCATTATGGCCTAAGCAAAAATAATAATAATAAATCCACACTTTGGAAGCCAATTGTATAGGTATCCAGACATTATTGTAAACTTTAACTTAGCATACAAAGTTAAAATTAAAAAAAAAAAAAAAATGATATCAGGTGAGTAGCTATTCACAGTCTTGGTTAGGTTAGTGAAGAAACAAGAGACAGATGAAGAAAATATTTTTGGTGGGGATGGGGGGGTGGGGGGCGGGGGGAGCAAAACTGAGCATGATGGCGGATTTACTTTTCTTACGAAAACATGGTTCCAGTATAAACTGTTTAAGGAAGTGGGTCACTTTGATTTCATCACTATCTATCCACAATCAAATTTGAATCTCTCCTAATAATTTAAATTCTAAGCAACCTAAGCTTCATCCTGGGTTTATTTGCAAAAGATCGGGGCTCTTTGACTATATTTATAGATATCAGTCAACAACATCACTCCAATATGTCAAGTTAGTGCATAATATTCATTAGGATAATTTAGCTTGCTTCAATATTGATCATTAGATTTTTTTATTTTTATTTTTTTTAAAACACCATATGGGAGGTCAGTATTAACAAGCAACTGCCAGAATTAACGAGGGAAAATCATTTGTCAAATAGTATGTGCAACATGGCACACTTGCCAATGCCAGGGGACCACACAATGCCCAATCTTCAAACCACGCCCATCAATTTATCTTCTAGGGCAGAGGACTGCTCCCCTACTACCTGGACAATTAGACCTTCAATTCGTTTACCAAACACATGTGCTTGTTTTATGATAAAACTTTGCTTATTTTTTTATTTTTTTTTCAATTTCGAACTTATCTAACTTCAATTTTAATCTCATATTTTAAGGGCTCACAACTATTATCAACTTTTTAATCTCATATTTCACCAACCTTTATCAAAATCCGCTAAAACTTTTATCAAAATCTTTATCGCACAGCCAATATCGCCACATTCATCAACAAAATAATTTTACTTTACATGCAATTTTCTTTTTTCATTTTTGCACTTTTTTTTGTTGTGCATCAGGTATCATTATACCAAACTCCTGTTATGCAATATACCATTGATCACAACTCATTTTCATTTCTGTTCTCCATTTCTTGCTTAATACAGAATTGATGGCATCGTTATGAGAAAAATGCACAATCAAATTTGGCAATAATAAGAGAGTTGCAGAATAACTAAGAACGTGGCCCACATTAGCAGCAATTGAATGGAACGAAGTAAAATGAACTCGCCTGAGACGCAGCAGTGCCGACCAGGGACGGAGTTAAACCTCCATACAGCCGATCCCATCCTTCTTGCTTCACAACCTACAAATATAATCGTTTCTTAACTAATTCCGTAAATAAAACAAAATCAATTCAAAAAAATTGAGAAAAAAAAATTTAAACACGTAATCTAAAATTTCATAAAGAAAAAAAGAAAAACAAAAAAAAAACCTTAGACATTTGTTCTATAGTCCCAACGCTTCTCTTCTTCTTCTCTGGATCTCGATCCGTTTGTTGCCGCGTATTCACCTACCACGATCAAATATCACAAAAAATGCAAAACTCAACACCAGAAAAAAAAAAAAAAAAAAAAGTTGT